TCCCCCCCCCCCCCCCCCACCCACGGGGAAAGCTGAAGTTAAAGTTTAAGAGCTAATGATAAATATCATAAAGCCTGACATTTGAAATAATGATAATAACTTCGAGAATTTTATCACTATTTAAATAGTACTTCAAACAATTCATTATCAGAAATTATTCACCTTGGGTGTGGAAAACTCTGAATTGCTAAATAATTTAATGATAATTTTCATATTCATTGCAATTGCACCTTCGTTGGCAGACAATAGGACTGCTACCAAAACTTTAAAACTCAATTTCGTTCGCCCACTTTTTCGATTGGCGAATTGCGGTAAATGGCTCGACCTTCAATGTCTTTTCCATTGAGTTTGAAAGTATTTACATCTTCATTCACTTTTTGCTCTAAACGCATTTGTTTGTGCAAGGTGAGTTTGGTTTGATTTCGAATGCCTTCACTTCTAAAGTGACATTTCGACATATATATTTTTTCAACATGTAAAAATTCAAGAAGTGTTATAAGAAAGGGGCAGGATTCAAAATTTTTCACCAAAAAACAAGTTTGAAAAATAAGATACGAAAGTGAAATGGATTTCATCATCTTTAGAATGGACATTAAATTCAGACAATGCACAGGCTCAGAAATCCCCACAAACCGATTCCAACTTTAAAAAAATACTTAATGTAATTCAATTTATTCTTCAAGTGAGCGATTAATGAACCCGCTTTGATACTGGGAATGACATGTTTGCACTTATGTCAGAATGCCATTCTTAATGTGTATACTTCATTTAGGACAAATGCCACAATACTGATTATGTTGGATTGATCAAAGAGGCTGACTGTTCCCAAAAAGTTGGGAGGCATGGAATCGAAAGAGGTTTTATTGACGAGGCAAAAACAATGGAAAATATTGTTAAAGTCAGAGGTCTATGCTTAGTGATAGAAAAGTGCATTCGCGACATAAAAACAATGACAGTCGTAGTTGGTTACTTTTAATTTTATAATTGACAACAAGGAGACTTATAAAAACATCTTGCGCGGTTGATTGAATTAAATCGAAACAGTTCTTTCATTAACTCCACCTATTGTTATGTACTTTTTGCTATACTACTTCTTACGGCATTCGAAATGGTATATATAAGAAACACAAAAACTATATTAAATTCAATTATTCCTTAGTTGAACTGCCATCATGGTTAGTATAGGTCTCTCCTTACATAATCCATTACATCTGCTTCTAGATCACGAGTTGGAAATTCAGTCTCTTGTGTGCTTTAATTCACCTTTCGAGCTGTCCCTGTAGTAGTGGTATATCAACCGCGATGGATAGAGGCTACAACTTTGATTACAGCTTTGAATGTCCTCTGGAGGTGGCTGTAAATCAACTCTTTTCGTGTTCTTTAGCGGTTAATCGAGGCCAACAACTCATTGCTACCGTTCAGTTTGAAGGTCAAGCTCCACTGAACTTTATATTTAAAGGTGAGTTGTCTCTTTGATTGGTCTATTTACCTTCTCATACTTCTCAATCAAACATAATCCAACTATTCTTGAACTCATCGAAACACCAACCTAGCTCCTATGTGAGTAAATAACTATTTTAAGTTAAATGGGCATTTAATCCACGTTAGTAGGTGATTTCGTGAGCTTATTACACAGGAATATTTTAAGCAAGGACCTGTTTCAAGGTGTCCGTGCTTGAACTATGTAAATCTTCATCACGACATCTGAACGGAAAAAATTGAAAGTTGTTGAATTGGGCAAATTTGATCTATAGGTAATGGTAAGGACAGTGGTGGATGCAGTGCATATCCCAACTCAAAGCTTAGAAAGCCACACAAACAGATGAAGGGGGTTATAGAGCTTCACTCAGCACAACAGAATAAAAACATTCCTCAACTCATATTTTGCACGGGTAACTACATAATATGGAGTTCAAGATATTTAATATTTGTCACTTCATTAAGATTTCACACTTCATTGCGTATTTTGATTTGTAGAAAATATGATTTTTCCTTTGGCTCTCCACTCTTTGCGTTCCTTCAAAAATCAGTTTATCCCCTGCAGTGGAGCCATGTCCATGACATATACTTTCAACAGTTTTCCTGAAGGAAAAATAATTCGCATTGTTATTGCAAACAACCACCAAGACGTTAGGTTCGATGTAAGTCCAATGAGTTAAAATATAGGAAGCGCAATATCACTTAAAGGGCTCTTTACTATTAATACTGCAAGCAAAATCATGAATTTTATAAAGTGTTGTCAAAAAAGGGGTTATCATTAAAATCGATTTTCTTTAAAAGCTTATTCATTACACCTGTCCCAATGGGTACGTAATTGACTCGGTTTCAAAGACATGTTCTGACGGTTCCATAGCTAGGAGCAGCAATACAAGGGTAGGTCTGTGTTTTAAAAAAATATTTGTTTCTTAAATGACCTCCTCTCCAGCTCGTAACGTATTCATCTCGTGAGGGCGAGCTAACATACTACGAGGTTGTGGATCGGCCAAAAATAGAGAAAAATGATGATATAAATGCCATAACATCGTCGACCTTTTTGTGTGTAATTGCTGGGCTGATAAAAAAGTCGGAATTCCATGCTGTGAGTTTGTGAAAATCGTTCAGTTTGCCATTTTCTAAACTTTGATCCTATCTCAACCTAATAATATGAAACATACGGTTTTGCGCGCACAAATTACTGGTTTATAGGAAGAGCGAAAACGTTTGCTACTGAAGAATTAATAAGTAGAATCGCAAACTCGTTCGTGCAAATAGATTAATGGAAAAGTTGCACTAATACAACTCGTGTTTTAAGAGAACTAAGTTCTTTGTAATAAAATTATCACTATTTCTTCTCCTAGATCTATATCCAAGTTAATTTCTTTTAAATTTTAAAGGGGACAAAAATTGGAGCACTTTTAAGCTCCCTATATCGTATAGTGTTCAATGTTTTTGGTTAAAATTAGCATTGTCCTTACAATGCGCTAAAATGTGCTCCAAACAAATAAGTTTGTGATAGATTTTGAGTTGACAAAATTGGAATATGTAGAACATGTCGATGACATACAGACTGTCAGATGAGTTTCCTTCATGCAATGCATGCTACTTTTACATCATAGGCACAAAAAAATTTGCCTTGAGAGTCTTCAAGATAAGTCAAGAGTCGATACAATTGGTTCCAACAAAGATTTAAAAAAATTCAAATCGTACTGAAGAACCGCAGTCATTACTCTCTTTGGGATTCCAGAATTAAGTCAATTTCGGAGACACTCAAATCCTTTTAAAAAATTTCGGAGACACTCAAATCCTTTTAAAAATAGCTATTCCTAATTTTATTTAACTCATTACTTCCCACAAGGTTCAAATCGACATAGAGCTTCCCCGCGTCCAATTCTTTTACGGTTCATTTGACCAAGAGGGAAACTATTCGGTCAGGGCGATTTTAGACTCCTATGTTGGTGAGAAAATTGCGGCTACGAGGCTAACGGAGGTTAGAGTTGCTGTTAGTGCGCTCAAATCCACCCCAATTCCAACGTTAAGTAAGTTTCCTTTTAATTACACCCAATTACTATCGTTTCGTTATGTAGAACAGGAACCCCCCAAAATTACGGCCACTTCAGTGTTGGCAGTCGAAAGTGGTGGATACGTTAGCGGCTGTGGTGAACATTACAACGTCTTTGCCAATGATACAGCTCTTTACTTCAACTTTAAAGTAGAGGGTAATGTAATGAAAATAAGGTATCGTTTCACTCAATACAGCGATCCCAACCAGTTTTACCAAGAAGAGGTGCAAAATGGGGCTTATCAGTTTCAAGCCAAGTTAGCAGTAAGTAATGAATATGTGCTGGTTAAACCTCTTCCAATTAGAGAGGATTATACGTTCTTTCTGCTACCATCTCTGGACCCGATGGTGAAAGTACCGAAGCTCACAGAATTTTTGAAATCGAAGACCCAACAGACCATGCAATGATTTGTAAAAGATTTGATCAAAACCAAAACGCGTCCTTTACAATTTTTCCGTCATTTTCAAAGCCCTCACTAAAAGCAGTGGGATTTAGAATTTTTAACGAATCTGGACGATTTCATTTTGTAAAGTGGATGAAGCAGGATGTCTGTTTTTCTCCAGAAGTTATACCACATCCGGAAATCCCTTCCATTGTCACGGCGGTTTGCCAATATTACTATTATCTTTCATTATATCTAGAATGTTGATTCATTCATCGTTAAGGTGATCTGTTTAGAAGATGGGAAGAGCTTTGAAATTTTAGCAGCAGGTAAAAGAGTTTGTCTTCCAAAAGCAGAATTGAACACTAATTATTTGTATACTTTGATTATATACGGAAGCAATAAGAGATATATTCACCGTGATAGACACAACATCCTAGTTGCCAATGAGTCAGCTATGAATGTGGTCATCAAGTGAGTTTTCGCATGTCTAAACTGTCGTCGGTTGGTAGTTCGGTAATTTCTTCACCTGAAGAAACCGTTCTAACTGGTACCTGCAATCAGGTTATCTGCTCACGAAACAGAATTTCTCAATGGGAACTCACCATGTCATATCCCAAATTCACTTTCTGGAAGTTGAGTGACGAGGAAATGCAAAACTACACTGACGGTCGAACAAGAAGTACTTTGATTATCTCGCCACAACTGCTACTTCAACTACCAAGGGGAACGTATTTACTAGCCTGTCTGATAATTCAAGAGACGGTTTCAATAAAAATCAAAGTGTGTGAACAGTACACAGTTAGCATGGCTAAAAAATGCGATTCGTGTTACTTAAATGCTTCAAATATGATTGATGATTTTCAAAAGGTGTGTGTCAACTGTAGCTGTACTTCCTCTCAGGGTGATACCTTTGAGTTTTATAGTAAGTGACAACATTTGAGTGATAACTTCCATCCTGTTCAGCAATGACGAATTCGGGAACGCAATCAATAGCATTTGGAGATAGACCATTGTTCTGCAGTTATCTTCCTGCCTCGGATGATGCTGTTACGCCTTGCATTCGAAGTCTGCCAGGATCGATGGTCAATATCCGCAAGTGCTTTCATCAAATTAAAGTAAGTGCCACGACGAATTTTTCTCTTTCTACCGAAGATAAGTCACCAGTGAAGGTAAAAAGGTAAACACATTTCAGGGAACAGTTATCTAAGTAGAGCGAAAGGTTATTACAGGAGTCAATTACAATGCAATGAAAACAAGTGACTGGGTTTGAACGTGGTATATGCTGTATTAATCCCCAACAGTAAAGCTGACTGAAACTTCAATCTTCTTCAACTCTACTCATCCTATAAAATTAGAAATAATGATAATTTACTCTGTGTTTTATTCTCAATCTGTAATACTTTGCGAATTATGAATTTATATTTGTCGATCTTAGTGAAGTAGTTTTGCACTATATTTTCATAAAATTTATTTATTTATATCACTAGCCCTTTAGTTGACTTCAGGCTTCACAGATTGGAAGGAACATCAAAATGAAAAAGGTTGAGATGGGGGGGGGGACAGAAGAGTGTTTCAAAGATGTAAGAGACAAACACAAAGGTAGGAAAAAGGTGAGGTGAGTACTGTGAAAGGGGTCTAATATGGCATAGAGTGAGGTGATGGTAGTTTGAAGTGAGAAGTCAACTGCCAGTT